AAGCATTCTTACTTTACAGCATTTTTTCACACCTGCCTAAAACCTTTGCACAGTACTGTACGTGAATGGCATGAACTGACACACCCAACAGATAACAGATAGAAATAATGAGAGAAATGGAAATGAGAGTGATTCCTAGTTGCCAGGCCTCATAACTGACTGACCCTCACTTAGCATCATCCAGAATTATCAGACAGCATGGTCAAACACTGTGTTGACTGGAAGATTTGGGAATTGAAGTTCTAACACATCTGGAAGTCTCTGCATTAGAGAAAGCTTAGTTATAGTGACTTGATGGATCTAGATTAGGTATTCTTCACCACCACCTCAAACCTCCCAGGACATTCATTATCTGTGCTGCTGAACTTAGCCTACCTCCCCCCACCAAAAAAGAGACAAAGCAATGAGCTGCCATTTACATTGTTAAAAATGAATCGAAGACTGTTGTATGGACTATACCGGCATTGTTGGAAATCAAAAATATGCTTAAGGCAGAGGTTTTGTTTTGCATCATGTTAACTTCCCTTTTTTTTCCATTATAAGAAACTGAAAGTAATAGAATCAGAGGAGAATGGAGCCAGGTGGGTACTAATCAAGGATGTATTAAGACTTGCAGGTGGCATTTTAGAAGCCCAAGTCTTAAGACAATATGCTAGATTAAGACATATTAAATCGAGCGCTTTGCATAGTGAGGCAGAAGCCAATTCCCATAATCCCAGGAGAGACCACTTAGTGACTGGTCACTGTTGTGCTGTGCAGATTTTCAAAGGTGGCTGCTCATGCAGTTAATTCAGGGTGGGGTCATCGTCAATGCATAATACTAACGGTCCGATATCAGTCCTGATCAGCAGGCCAATCTAAGATGGAATTCTGCCTGAGGCAAAAAGCAAAATAGGGTTGTTTCTTACTGCTCTATCTACAAAAGTCAGATTGATTAGTAGTGAATCTTATTCAGTAGTGGCAGTAGGAGGCAGGATATTAAGTATGTTATATTAATATAAGAATGTTAAGAATGTTAATAGGAGCAAGAGTATGAAGTATGTTCACTGGCTTGAGTTGACCAAAACTATATTCAAGGCAGAATAAAATTCTAATAATAATTAATTAAATTAATTAATGAGATAGCATCCTTCTGCATATTTGCAAACATTAATCTTATAAGGTCTAGGACCTGCTGCATTGTAGAAAATGGCCATGGGGTACAAGAAAAAGATCTGGGTAGAATGGCACTTCTGGGCCTATATGCCTACCACTTGGCATCTGTTGATTTAGGTGGCCACCTCATTATCTTTAATATTTTGGCAGTTCTTGTCTGTCTGTTTGTCTTCTTGCTGCTGGATCTTCCTTGATCTAGGATCATTCAGGAATTTGAACAGTTCTTCTTTTGTAGAGTCCTTGGTGATCTCTGTGCTTGGTCGTTTGCTTGCAGACCTTTCATTACCTGACTAGATAACATCATCAGTGCGACTAAGTGTGGGGTTTGCTACCTGTTTATATACAGTAGGTTGCCCTGCCAGAGTTGGTAGGGGGGTGGCTTTCGCCTTGGTAGTTCCTTGATTAGGGTGTTGCTTTTTGCTAGATTGTGTGTCTGGTCTTAATCCCCGCTTATCTGGGTGTTGGTTGCTGGAGAGGACATGTTCTGGTCATTTTGGGTAATGGAGCACTTGGTTAGTGTGGGCTGTTTTTTGATAGACTTGAGTTTCTAATTTGCCTTCATTTCCTCTGCTGATGAAGATATCCAGGAAGGGTAGTGTGTTGTTGTTTTCTTCTTCCCTTGCGAATTTTATTCCTATGTTCTTCTTTTTCAAATATATAATATTTGAAATATAAAGTTCTTCTTTTTCAAATACATAACATGAATAATTGCTTAGCTTTTGTTGCTTGCTTCCTGCTGATTCTGTGCCAAAACATTCCCCCCATTCCTCTTACTCACACACTTGGGAGTCTTACTAGGAGGAGATATTTTCTTCTGACCAAGCCAATAATCTGCCTCCCAATTTCACTAGGGACCAGTTCATCTGGATTGTTTTATCCAAAATTACAAATGCCAAAAAGACATGCGCTGTTGCAGGAATCAAGGCTGCTCAAATCACAATTTTATTCATATCCCATGATTTGCTTTATAATTGGTTGAATAAATGGTGGGGCACTGGGTCCACTCATCACATTAAGGCAGAAAACATAGTTTATAAATTGCAGTATTGTCATGTAACTTAAATCAAAACCAAACAATCCACATTAAGAGATCAGCACTATGTATGAATCAAATTACAGTACAATACCTCTTCTTATGACTTCATAAGACTTCAAATAGTACATACAAGTAAAGCTTGTCAATTTTATTCAGAGAGTTGCACTGCAGAGGAGGACCATGTATGCATTTTCACGTTTTTCAGTTCTGAGTTACATCCAGCTTTGGAATACATGAGGCAAGTTTCAAGTTTCATATTACAATTGCAAATTTGAACAGGCAGGAAACAAATAATTGAGTAATGAGTAGAGTACACTGTATTCAGATGCCTCAAGGTTAAGCCACCATGAATATAATTCAAGCACTTTTAACTGGCTTTTTGCTGTTTCATTCATAAAACAATAGCCTTGTAGCAATGAGAAGTATATTCTTCAGCAAGAGGCCTGAATAGCACATTAACTTGCTGAAAAACTAGTTTCAGGGGAATAAACTATTTGACCTTTGCTATCAAAATTTTGGAGTTCCTCTAAGCATCCTATGGTCATTTTAGTATTCACTGTTGCCCCCCCCCCCCCCGCCCACTCGTGTACATTCAAAAGAAAGTAGTGGAGGATGCAAGACCTCCAACCTGAGATAGCTGAGCTCCTTGCAGCACTAAGAATTTGTATTTTTTTCCCCTTCAAAAAAGATAAAAGTGGTAGGAATGTGGGGAGGAGGATGGCAGCTTCTCAGCCTCTTTGCTATGCTGGGAGGACTAGCAAATAGCTGCTCCCTGATAGCCCCAGCTGTTCTGCTGCCACCAAAGATGAGTCAGTTGACTAGGAGGGAGGTTAGCTAGTGTGATGGAATGGAATTATGAAGGCCAGACTCAGGGAGGAAAACATGTTCTTTCATCTGTTCTACTTCACCTCCGTACTTCTCCGGCATGCTACCAGGCGAACGTAATAACACCGGTGGCAGGGGAAGTGGTGGCTGGGCTACTGGTTCGAGTTGTTGTATTAGTTGTCCCATAGCTGCTTGCAGGTTATTAATCTGTGCATCCACTTGCTGCTGCTGCTGTAGTAGGGCTGCTGCCAATAACTGTGCTGTCAAATTAGCTCCCTGGGGATCTGTTGCCATGATGTAAACTCCTTTGTCTGGAAGGTAGTAAGAGTCTGGGAAGATTGATGTCAGGCCTAGCCCAAGGAACTCCAGGAGACCATGTAAATTCAGTCCAGCA